GCCCCCCCCCTAACCACATCTTATACTATATAAATTATAATAACTATACTTATAATGGAAGTCCGCTGTTAATTTGTTGAACAAGAATATGTATTATACTGATTACTGCCTACTGGAACTTACTCAATTATATTAGGTCTTTTATTTTTTCGGAGGAAAAACATCACGAAACGAAACTATAGTTTGTAATCTTAGGTAATCTTATCAATTGTATTACAATTCAAATGTATATGTTTTGTTGTTATCAACACCTATGACCTATGTTAATTTGTATGTACTATACTATATGTACACTTGTACACTTGTAGCCCACAAATTATACATAAATCATATTCGTCAGTCTTTATGCCCTATAAAAAATTACAATCAAAATGTTTTTCGTTAAGATTTATACGTATATGTCGAACGTGTCAAGTGAATTTATTCATAAATACGTCACAGCTTTATGTTTTTATCGTTTCTCGAATTCTTTTCGAATCGAATCTCATATTACATTATGGCCTCCATAACAGCTAAAGAATTAAAAAACACCCACCCAAAATTGTAGGTAAGCAATTATTTTATCGTTTACGATGATCGCATTAAATGTTTAGATTTTAAAGTCATCATATAAACTATATACGAGACAACAACGCAAATGAATAGTAACATATATATAGAGAAACATAAAGCTACTTATGTATTTTCCATATTCAGAAACAAATATAATTATGTTGTAATCTTAATGATTTTGCTTTCATTGATTTTTGAGTACTTTATTTAGTACTAAATAAGTGGAATTTACAGTAAGGTGTATGAAAAACCAACCTAACAATAACATATTTTGATATTATATACGTATAAATCGAGTTAGCCAATGTTTTGTGTCATGTAGGGCGAATACAAACATTTTTATCAATCGAGAGATTTTTGGCTAAAAACGTGGAACATGGCTCTTTTTGGGGCTCTACTATTTTTAGATCGATCAATAAATGTGTCGAAAGGTTTTACCGAATTTATATAAATGTGTACCTATATATCGTTTATTCATTATTATATTATTCCGAAGCATTGAATCGTAGGCAGTCTGATGTTGTGATTGGAAAGTAAGAAACGTAATGGCAGAATGCATTGCCAATAATAATTATAATTGTAAATTAAAATATACTTTTAAGGGGATTCCATACCGACCGTTTTTAAGGAGATGAGTATAGGCAATTTTTAGACAATCTATATAGTATGTCTGTGCGTGGTGTGCATGTGGTGTGTAGTAAATGATCATTGGTGTGAATGACTTCCCTGTACAATAGATAAGCGTTGCGCACTCGCAATGCAAATGTCACATTATGCCTATCAACAAATTTATTTCATGGCGAAATGTTGTAAATCATAGACCTAAAATAATTCCAACATACCGACTTGAGTTTTACACCGATAATAATTTTGAAGACAAATTTTGTTTTGCTGTTCAATCCACTTTGGATCCTTCGAGCCACATTTTTAGTTTATTATTCTTGAAAAGAAAAAAATCTCACTTGAAATTTAGAAAAAAAACTTGTATTCTTAAAATATTTAATATACATAAATAGTTTTGAATTTTTTTTTATATTATTAAGATTCAAATGATTCAAAAGAGACTTCATAATAAATTCAAATATGTTTTCAAAATTATTATATAAGTAAAACTCAAGTTAGTACATTGGAACGCTTACAGGTCTATTTTACTCTAAAAAGCGATAGTGTGGAATCCTTACACAGACATTTGTTGACCAACGTCCATAACAATATGATAACTTGTGGGGCTGTCTTGTGGGGCAAATCGATCTAGGGAATCGAGTACTAGAAGTATATAGAAGTGATGGGCACGCGGGTGGTCCGGGGTCCGGGACTTGCCTCAAACACTCGCGCAACGTATGCCTCTCGGCCGGTGCCGAGAACACTTGCATGACCTCGGTGGCTGAAGTATATAATGGGAACTTCCGGTTGTCAAAACTGGGACAAAATACGAAATCTAAGATATAATAGTTGTTATAGAGAAATTATATTGATATGTTCTTGTAAAAAAGCCGGTTTAATCGAGTTCTTGTGGTGAAAAGTAATGTGCATATCTCCATATTGTGAGCGCGTTCACAATCCCTATCGGAAGTATCGATTAAAATCGATTGGTCTCGGGAAAAACTTGCTAAGTCTATTAGTATGTACAAAATTGTCTAAGTCACATAACTGGTTTTTCTCAAACAAAAAATTAATTTTGTGAAATGTTCTTCGAAATTTTTCATAAGTGTATAAGAAAACTGGTAAAATCGATGTATGACTTAGACCGTCTTACCCAAAACATCGTATCATTCTTCTGTATCTAGATATGACATAATCTCATTTTCACTAATTTAAGACTTGACAAGTTTTTCCCGAGCACCATCGAAATATTCATGTGTAATTTTACCAGCACGACGAAGATTCTTCGCTAACATAATAAATATAATATCTACATTATTAACACCTAGGTAGAACCTATACTCGTCTATCCTATTTAATTGTAATATTGTATTTCTCATCTTCTCTCAGATCAGTTCATTAAAATGTACCGCCATGATGAATGTCCACCATTTGGACACATCAACAACAGCTTTAACGTAACGGTCATAAGTAGTATTAAAAACGGAAAAAGTTTTGTACGACCTACAGACATTTTTTTGCTGAATTCAAATATTTTTTCAGAATCAAAATCAGACAACGTTAACCAACTTTCATTTTGTCAAAAAAATGTATGTTTTTGCAAAATTCGTTTTGCAAAATTTACATGGTTATCGAGTTTTTGACATGTGCTTGCGCGTACGAGAGAGGATACCGCATTTAATTTCACTCACACTAATAATCATTTATAACTAACGCAAAGATCCCGGGCGGCTATGACAAGATTAGAAATTGCCTAAATATGACCCGGCTTAAATAACGACCGTAGCGAGGCCCCTTAAGATAAAATTTTAACAGTTTTACACTACTCTGCATACAGTTCAATTACTATCAATATAAAAAAAAAACTTAGCTTGATAGATAGACATGATTTGTGGAGCCACGAAATAGCCCCACAATTTGCAAACAACCATCCACCAATTTTAAATAATAATCAAATCTTTTTTGGATGAAACAGATTACATTTATAAATTACAGATATACCTTTTAGGTTTACGTTTACCTATAGCTAAACTATATCCTATATAGGTAACTCTAAAAAGTGTTAACATATGTTGGTGGTGGTTTTTGGCTATATACATATTTTAACAACACATCTACCATTATTGTGAAATCCTGAAAAGATTTTAATGTAATTACTTACTATACCTACCTTACTATTATGTAATATGTATAGTAGTAGCATTTATTATAATAAGTATTTATTGGGAAAGCAGATTAACAAAACGTGCTTTGGTGGAAACAATTTGTAAATTCTGATTCGGGATGTTTAGATATACATTCCGATATTTTATATTGGTTATTTTACTTTTTAAAATAAATGAATTTTGTTATCTCAACTGTATACGCTTCTATAGCTAACTGTATACGTTGGTGAGTACAATTTCTACTAATATTAACAAATACATTCAAATACATTCAAATACAATTCACTTATAGCAAAATGTATGCGAAATGTCGGGAAAGTACATACGACTTCCCGAATTGAGTCCTGACTCCGCGTAGGGGGTACCCACCTAACCATCAGTAAGATAAGCGTCGACAGCGCTCCCAGTGTTAATCTGTCTTCTCAATAATCAATGGTTGTAGTATAATATAGTATAGTGTTTTAAAGTAACTATTAAGTATTTACTATGTGGTTCTTTCTTATTAATTACCAGACTTAATAATTTTCCGGTAGATTTTCCTAAAATCATGTCTCATAAGAACCTTTTTCTGACAATTACAAACACACCAAAAAACGAATAAGCTGAATCGGTCAAGTATTTTCGGAGCCAAACCGTGACAAAGATTTTTATTTCGCTTTTATAAAATACTAGCTGAAACGTATGGTTGTTTGCAAATTGTGGGGCTGTTTCGTTGCCCAACATATCCTGTCTATTTTTTTTATGAAGAGTAATTGAACAGTATGAAGAGTAGTGTTAAACTGTTATATACATCTCATAATGTAATATTATCTCTCGGCAACATTTGTGGTTTTGCCAAGGTCAGATTTTATAGAATAAACAATACATTTCGACCAATAAACATAAAATATTCAAAATTAACATCTAAAACTATAACAGTCGTAATCAGTAGCAATCTTCCAATAAACAAAAATATATTATTATTATGTTCATTTTTCTCATGGACAGATTAAGCCACATCTAAATTTTTGACATCCAGATTTCCTACTTTTCCGGTGGATTTTCCTAAATTTTTCTATCATAACATCCTGGTCCTGACAATTAGAAACATAACAAAAAAATAATCAGCCAATTCTGCCAAGCTATTTCGGAGCCAACCCGTGACACAAAATCTTGACTTGCTTTTATAGTATAGATAAATATTTTATTATGCACCTAGTACATTTTTCATTTTTTTTTTTTTTTGCTTTAATATACAAACACTTAGCAAATGGGTAATGATATAACAATTGTTTAGTACCTACTTAGGATACCTAATGTAATATAAATATTACAATAGGTCTCATATTGAAGCAATTGATCGAACATTAAAAGATCTTATATGTAAGTGTGTAACAATAAGCCTATGGGTGGTATAACATTTGTTTTCGCTGGTGATTTCCGTCAAACCTTAACCCGTGACACAAAATCTGGACTTGCTTTTATAGTATGGATAATAAATCATCCTGGTATAATTTTATAAACATCCGAATGTAAAATTTATGACGTATTCGAATGTAAACGTGCACACAAAATGAACGCTAAATATTAGGTCGTAATGTGTCAACAAAAATACTGTTTCAATAAATATCAATTATTAAAAATAGGTAAACTATTATAATCATCATTTTCGTATAATTTTTTGTTCATGAACTAACAGATATGGACCACTACATATTTCAGTGTGAGGAAAGAACACCGTTTATCTCCAAGAACCTCACACTAAATGGCTGGCGTTCATATTTATACTCCAATACATGGACAGGAAAACCAGACTTCAGATGTGCTGTGAGTATACTATGTTTACGCATACATATTCTATCAAATATTATATTATATATGATATCCTAATCAACAACTTATCCATAATTGCATAATTATTGCATAATTCACTAATTATAATATACTACCTAGCTGATCCCGTGCACTACGTTGCCCGTTAAATGTATCAATTCTATTTGACTCAAACTGTATTCAATTCGTTATTTAATATATATAGTATATGGTGTTCAAAATTTATCTTAACTTTTCTGTTGCTCATAATAAAAATTCTGATCCGCAGTTGTCTATTATCAGGTAGGTAAGATCAGCGGTATACCCGATGCTGTTTGTACATAAGCGTATGGTTTAACTCTAAAGTATCAAAAATACCAAGTTTGTCGTTTTTACTTAATTCTACCTACGGTGGATTAATATAATCAATTAATACAAAATCCTGACTTAAACTAACCATACTAAAATCCGTTAATTAAAAAAAAAAACAAAATTTAAGATTATTTAAATTATCCTATATTTTCTTCATGGAGGTCTGATCTACCCACAAACATTCATATACATACATATATTTATTGACAAAAAAAATAATACAAATAAACAAAAAAGGCAAAATTAACTAATAGTAACCAATATATAATACACTGTTATTATTTTAATCTGAGACAATAAAATATATTTCTTTTTATTTCTTTTTTTATTTTTAGTTTATTTCTTTTCTGGACACATGGTGAAACTCATGTATTTTGGCATCCAGGTTTTCTACTTTTCCGATAGATTTTCCTAAAATTGTCTTTCATAGAAATCTACTCCGTGAAATACTCTTTTGTTAAAAAAAAATCAAAAGATTGATAAGTAATTCCAGAGTTTACCCTGTACAAAGATTTTCATTTCACATTTATATAGGTAGTTAGATATACATAGATATTTAACGTTATGGTCGATTAATCTATTTTTTTCTTTTTCTGTTCACTTTACTTCAGTTTTACAAAACGTTTAGTGAAGACCCACCAATGTTCAAGATGGTGATTAGTGGGAGGAACTCGTGCGATGGTCTATTGAAGAGAATGGAACAATCCGAGGAAGCGGTTCCCGAGGGGTTTCGACATATCACCGATGGATCGATAACTCTTATTTTTGAAAACTTCCGACAAAAGCCCCTTTATATACCGTCAGACGAATAATTGTTTTTTGGATGCAGGTTACTTCATAACTAACATACTACATATAATAAAAATGCAATAATTTAGCAAACGTACATAATTAATGTCAACGTATTTTAATAATAAAGCTGTAAAATTAATTTCCAATATGAGTATACTTTTTTTTTCATGTTAAATTACTACATGGGAGCCGAACTGTTTTCACATTGATTAACTCCCATGCAGCATCGTTTATTTAATGAAAATGTTCACAACTTTGTTTTTGGGCTCGCATGTGTATACCACGGCCCCATGATGCCCCACAATATTTTTACACATGGGTATAGTCGGAACGAACCCGTTCTATCCCCTCACAGTATATGGATCGCTGGCTGCGAAGATCAACCAGGGCCGACCGAAGCCAGTCATCCTGGAATACTCGTACTGGTAACCTCCTTATCGTGAACCGGCCGGAGCCCACCGCTCTCGATTCTCGTTCTGGATTTCATCCATTATCCGCATTATCCGTGGCCTGTCGAGTTCTCTCCTCGATCTCCTTTAGTGTAAGGATGTCTTCCAACATTTTATAAAAGATCCTAAATGTCTCTTCAGCTTCATTAAGGGTGGCGGCCTTTTCCTGGTGATCCATCGGGAGGTTCTCAAAGACCGGGCCTAAATCGACCCAGGCGTTTCCGGAGTTCGGCTCTGCAGCTTTCCAATTGACACAATGGAGGATTGTGTGCTCTGCGATGTCCAAACCACATAGGCAGTGCATGCAGCGTTGGCTTGGGGCCCTGCCCATGGGATGAAGGTACCACTGGAAGCACCCATGTGTCGATAGAGCCTGGGTCATATGATAGGTCCAGGGTATCCTGGGCGGGTGTACCGTCAATTTATCGTAAACAATTTACCGCACGACAATTGACCGTAAAGAATTGATCGCAAACCAATTGATCGCAATTGCAATTTACCGCACGATAATTGATCGCAAACTATATATATAGGTTATTTCAGGGTTATTTTAAGGCCAATATTATTTTTTCGTAACTTTATTCGATCGTTAACGATCAAGTCTTATCTAACATTATACTCGTACCCTTTTTTATCAGTAAGTATTTTTCCCTATCTTTCTAAAGAATATAGATCACCATGAAACACTATGAAAATATATCAGTATTGACACAATCGTCAATCGGTATATACTAATAACTTCGTGTAGCTGAAAGTACTGTACATAGAATATGGCTTTAGAGTACGTATTAAGCTCAATTCAATTTGGCGATTTATGGATGCATTAAAAAAAAGAAGAGAGCATTAATAGATTCAAAATCAAACAATATGTTGGGGGCAACGAGCCACCCAAAAAAAAAATTTACCGAGATAGAGCAGCTAAAATAAAAATCATGTGTACCAATTATAACAATAATACAAATATTGAATACTATCTTCGTGGCATCGCATACAATTTTCAATTTCAAATTTAATATTTAGTGTTTTTCATTATTATAAACCTATCTTGATGATTTATTATAGTATTATATTTATTTATTTTTTATATTCAATTAAATGTACTTACAAATATTATCTATTTATATAAAAAAATATTGCAGATTATAATTTTAAAAGTTAAATTTTTCTCATTTTTATATACTGAACAATATTTTTTAAACATTTTTAATCTAAGACGAAAAATATATTTTTAACCATACATGTAACCAGAGTTGTGTGCCAAATTTATTAAAATTAAATATATATTCAAAATATTTTTATATTACTGAAAATGTTATTTTTCGATCAATATTGATGTGCGGTAAATTGCAATTGCGATCAATTGGCTTGCGATCAATAATTTGCGGTAAATTGTCGTGCGGTAAATTGTTTACGATCAATTGACGTGTACCTTCCCATTGTGGTCCTCCTTTCTTCTTTTTTGATCATGAATCTGGTGGGAGTAGGATAGACAGGCAGGGGTCTTCCGACGCCCCGGTATTTATCCTAGCCCTTGCTTCAACTATCAGGTCTACCGGAGGCATACCCGATAGGACGAAGGCAGCTTCATCGGAAACAGTCCTGTAGATACTTATGGTCCTCAGGGCTGCCACTCTCTGAGGTCTCCTTGGGATGGTTCTTGCCTTAGCCGTTGAGCTTACAGTTACCAACCAGACTGGGTCAGCGTAGAGAAGTTGGCTCTCCATTACCGAAGCTAGAGGTCGCCTATTCCACTCACAGGGTCCCCTGATGTTCGGAATTAGCCTTGAAAGGGCTATCGCCGACGTGGACGTCTTCTTTGCTACCGTCTCCGCGTGTTTTACAAAGGAAAGGCGCGATTCAAGTATGACTCCTAGGTATCTTAAGTGTTTGCTCAGTTGGATGGGAGTGCCATCTATGCTGAACTGAGGAGGGTTGTAGGCCCACTTCTTTGTCAGCATGACTGCATCCGTCTTGTCTTGAGCTAGCTGGAGTCCTCGAGTTGCCAACCAGTCATAAATCTTCTCGAGGACAGGATTCAATAGGTTTTCCAGAAGCTCGCTCGTTTTGGCGACTCCGACGACTGCGAGATTGTCTGCGAAGCCAACCAGCTGAACACCCTGGAGAACTTCCATGTCCATGATTTTATAGCCGTTATGTGCTGCTCTACTGACACTAGCGGCAGCGTTCAAAACTAGTGTTCATGTCGTAGGCATATAGTCAAATCAGGCATTTTATTAAATGCCTAGGCATATAGCCAAAGAATTTAATGTTTATGCAATTTCACTATCTGCCTAGACATTTAGTTAAATGCCTAGATATTTAATTAAATTACTAGGCATTTAACTAAATGTCTATTTCATGTCAGGTAAATAATAAAAAAACATTTTGTATAATTTTAAAAATTTTAATATATTTTCTATCAGTTATTTATTGCTATTAAATATATAAAAAAGCTATGTATTATTTATTAATATGAAAAAAACGTTGGTATATGTAATAATACCTTTAATTTTATGTTCATTATTACTATTTACTATTGTTTTAAAAATTAAATCATAAATATATACAGGTAATAACTAATTAGATGTGATAGACGTAGATGATAGTACGAGTATATTGTACACCCTATAGTCAGTATAATCTTTAATACGAGTAGTGAGTACTATATATTCTTAATAAATAAAAATAAAAGTTCCATTGGTTTTAACCTTGATTGTATGAGAACCTTATCTATATTGAGTACCGTGGGACAAATTATAATCTTGTGAATTATAACGACAAAAATATGACTTTACGGAAAAATATACAGAACATGCGATTGAATTGTACAATAATTTAGTTTAGTATGTGTTTTACGTAAATCGTATGTAGTGTGATCGTGATTGCATGTATTATTGTGACATATACCTATTGACATTTTTTGTATATTTTAAATTTTGATTGTTTTTATTTGTATTTTAAAATATAATATAATGTCACACAGTGAATTATTTTATGAAAAATTAATATCAATTTACGACAACCAAGATAAAAAAAAACCTGAGAGTCAAGAAGACTATGACAAAGCTCTAAACGAAATCAATGATGCGAAATTGAATCTAGGTAAAACTAAATCTGAAAAACAATATTATTGATGTCGTAAATATGATCTGACTGAAGTAATAAATGTTAAGCATATTATTTTTAAACGAAAAACTAAAACTGAAAATATTATTTATGTTGTACCATATGAAAACTATTTTGAAAAAATCGAAGAAAGTCATAAAGCAACTGGTCATGGTGGAAGGGATAAAGTTGAGCAGTATTTAAAAAATAAATACAATATTCCTCGAATAACAATCCAAATATTTATTGATTTGTGTACAACTTGTAACGTAAAAAAATCAAAACCTTGTAAAGCCGTCGTTGTAAAAACAATATTATCGGCAGATTTTAATTCAAGAGGGAAAATTTACCTTATTGATTTCCAATCAACATCCGATGGACATTTTAAATGGGTCAGGAACTATCAGGATCACATAACCAAATATTTATATCTTCGACCACTTACTTCAAAACGAGCAACCGAAGTTTCACACGAACTTTTAAAAAATTTTTTGGAACAAGGAGCACCTCAAATACTTCAGTCTGATAATTTAAAAGTACATGGGCGTCCACGGCACCCTCAGAGTCAGGGATCTGTAGAAAGATCAAATCAAGATGTTGAAAACATGTTACGAGCTTGAGTCAGGGCTTGAAACCGATTTAAATAATTTCGGTTTCGGTTTCGATTTTGAATACCGATTTCTAAATTTTTCGGTTTCGATTTTGGTTTTGAATACCGGTTTCTAAATTTTTCGGTTTCGGTTTTGGAAATCGGTTTCTAATTTTTTCGGTTTCGATTTCGGTTTTGGAAATTGGTTTCTAATTTTTTCGGTTTCGGTATTGAATACCGGTTTCTATATTTTTCGGTTTCAACTTAGCAAAACCAGTATTAAGAGATTTCGGTTTCGGTTTCGGTTTCGGTTTTGTATACCGGTTTCTAAATTTTTATGAACGGATTTCCAAGCAGACTTGAAATTATAATTGAATTGTTTCATTATAAATAATTACTTGATAAGATTTTTTAATGTTTGATAAAAATAAGAGAAATGTTTTAATAGGAGTGATTTTGTAATTTTATTCTACAAATAACAAGCTATGAGGAACCTAGAAGGTAGAACAAAATTAGAACAGATTAAAGTTTAAAGATATGTAGTACATTCACCACTAGACCATCTTTCTTTTGATGCAAACCTTTTCCCTGTTCGGATTTTTTCTTTTGTAGCGTTTTATTAATAACAATGGAATAATACTTAATTTTCTTATAGAAAAAATAAATATTTACCTATAGTAAAAAAAGAATAATACATTCACTATTTAGTATTTTCATACTTGACATTTTTGTTTGTATAATTAAACACAAATTTATGATCATTGAAAATTATAAAAATTAAAAACATACAACATAAAAAAATTATGCTACAGTTATAATAATCATTAAGTATAATTATTGTTTAACACCAGCCACAATTTAAAACCCGTGCTATTTTAATGCTTATTATTTATTGTTTTATTATTTATTATACAAATAAAATTAATAAATAAATTTTAGAATTTAATACAATTAAATAAAATATGAATAGACGTATACGGGCCATCGCGGTCGTCCGGCAAATAATTTAATGTTGTTGTCAAATGTCAAATGTAATGTGGTGCCCAATAAATCACTATAATATAATAATAAATTATAATAACAAACACAATATTATTATTGAGTTATTAGACAATACGGGACAACTAGTACCAAAAATCGCAACACATGGATAATTCCCCTGGGCAAGTAACGAACGGTCTAGGATTGAAAGATACAAATATAGCGCATTCGAATATTTTCAGGGGGCTGTGTCATATATAATGAATTTTCTTTTGCTTTTTCTGAACAATTGGTAAAAATGGACTTGCATCGTTGTTGCAACAATTATCATTGTTTGTCCCGTATTGTCATATATATAGTATTTGCTAGTAACTATAATTTATATCATTACTTAAGTCTTAAAGCAACTATTAATTTTGCGAATAATGAAATGGTTATCACTTATCAACATTTTAATCATGATCTCAATTTTATTATGAGTATTAATAATGCGTATTTAAGGAATTTACGTATTTAAAAACACGTAAATTTAAAAAAAAAAAAACGGTTTCAAATTTTTAGATTTCGGTTTTGAATTTAATACCAGTTTCCAATTTTGTACGGTTTCGGTTTTGACTTTAATACCGGTATCCAATTTATTACGGTTTCGGTTTCGGTTTTAAAACGAATTATACCGGTTTCTAAAATTGGTTTTGAAAACGGTTTCAAGCCCTGGCTTGAGTCGTAGACAATAAAAGTAATAAGTGTTCAATCAGAGTTTATTTTGTACAATGGCAAAAAAACATTTCAAATCATCGAATTTTAGGTCGTTCGCCTTATCGAGACTTGTTTGGAACTGAACCGAAAGTAGGTCTTAGTTCTACAAACTTACCTGCCGAAATTATTCAAAAACTATCAAATGAAAAAGACTTTGAAAATATTTTACAAGACAATTCAAAACATAATGTTGACAACATACCTTCAAAGAAAAAAAAATATTGTGACATAAATAATATCTGCAGTGTTTGTGAAAAATCAGGTGGTGAACTTCAATGTACCTACTATATGTAAAAGAAATATTCATTCTGATAATTGCAGCTATTCAATAAATAAAAGTAACGATATTGAAAATATTACGGAGTAATTAACCGGACATTGTTTTTTATAATATTCGAGCGTAGTACAAGCGCGTACGCTTGAAACATCGCGGAACAGGGCGAGCGGAACGGGTGAGGGGATAAACCGTACCGAAATTTAACACGCGTAGCATAGGCGATTGAACGTTTTACGTGTTATTAGATAGGCACTTATCCATTTACGACGTACGACGCGCGTTTACGTAATTTCTTTTATGAATAATCATTTGTGAATGCTAGTTATTTTATAAGTAATAATTTTTACGTATTATTAATTTTGGGGATTGTAGTTACGTATTGATAGTTTATAATTAATAATAGTTTATACGTCATGTAGAGTAAATACTATTGGTAATTGCATACGCGGATAGGATATTAATTGAATAAGTAATTTAATAGATATAAATTATATATACCTAATGTTTAGATATATATATGACAGACTCCGATAGTTCAGATATTGAAACTAGTTCTGCGAACAGTTCAATAAAAGTTAAAAAATATAAACGTAGTAAAGAATTAAAAGCGGCAATTTTAAAAGACGCTATAAAGAAATAATTTATAGAAAAAACTGGGAAACAGATAGCTAACGCCGAAAAAGCTGTTAGGGAAAATTTTGTAAGAACACTTAGTTTAACAGAACAGATAGGTATCATGCCACGAAAAAAGGAACAATTCGTAGGTCGCTCAGGTACTAGGTCAGACTCAAGCGTAATTCACGTGCAATTAGAATCAGTGGTTAGAAAAAAAATAATGAGTAAAATGGATTTAGATAAAGCAATTGCTATGATACCTATTTGCACGGGCAAAAAGGACGTAGCTGAATTTATAAACATTTGTGAAATCGCACTTAAGGAGACGACGGAAGCAGAAACCCCGATATTATTAAAAATAATTACTTCCAAGTTGACAGAAAATGCGTTAGAAGTAACGAAATATCGAAACTTAGAAACATGGGGATCAATAAAATCAATATTAGAGGGGGCATTCGAACAAAAAGTATCGGAAAGGGCCCTATCAATAGCTTTAAACACGGCACGTATGACCGAAGGAGAAAGTGTGGTGAAATTCGCTAGTAGAATCGAAGAACTTTACTATAAATTATGCGCGGCAAGTACAATGGGACTAACCAAGGCCGAAACACTTGTAGTTAAAATCCAGACTAAAAAGCAGGCTATGATTATATTTATGACAGGATTACCACATCATCTATATACAGTACTAAAGAGTAGGAATCCAGATACTTTAGAACAATGTTTTAAACTAGCGGTAGATGAAGATTTTGAAATTAATTCTAAATTAGAAATGGAAAAGTTACAGGGAAATGTACAAAAACCAGGGATGGAAAACGTTTTTGAAAACGTTTTTAAAAAACGTTATTAAACGGAAAAAAATGAAAAACGAAAACAATTAATAAAACGAAAACGAAAAAAACCAAAAAACGAAAACAATTAATAAAACGAAAACGAAACAAAACAAAAAATGAAAACAATTAATAAAACGAAAACGAAACAAAACAAAAAACGAAAACAAAAACGTAAAACGTAAAACGGAAATAAATTATAGTATTATAAATTATTTAATTATTTTTGCTCAATGTGTAAGTGCAGATTTTTTATTTTTATTCAAAGATGTATTTTATATTTTTATTTTATTTAATATTTTAGTATTTTACAATTACCAATATGTTAATTTTCTGACTTATTATTACTGGATTATTTTTATTATTTACTCTAGAAATCTGAAATAGTGTTTCACTTTAGTCTTTGAGACTTAAGTCTTTACTTTTGGGTTTTTAATCTTTACCAATGCACTTTTAAAATTTAAATATTAATTTGAATTTTTAACTTTCAAATGCATTTCTATATTGCGCGGTACTATTATAACTTAAAAGTTAAAAGTCACGAGTTATAAGCTATAGTTACTAGCTATAAGAATATATTATATATAAAAAAAAAAAAAAAAAAATTATCAAAAACGTTATTTGGAAACAATGTACGCCGATGGAGCTCTTAATGGACAGTTAGCCCCAAAGACTCGTACTTATAAGTAGGATACTAGAATTATAATACTATAAATAAAAGGAACTCAAAATTTGATGGTATAATAATGTGTATTGAATTATTCACGAAAATTGTTGGGGTGGACGTCTCCACAGTATAAATAACAATAATAAACGCCGTCAAACACAGGTTTTGCGTACGTATACAAATAATAAATTTAAATTACAATAAATTAAATAAGGCCGTAAGTAGGTCACGGGGACACGTATATCCTACAATAATAAATACAAATAATAACGATACGACCGTGATATGTGTGAAGATAATGAGCAATATTGATAGTGATTTCACCGTCCGGTCGACCAGTAGTACCGCGATTTTGGAGGTTGATAAGTCCAACGACACTTGTTCGATGACGACAATGTTGTACCAATCGGTTTCGAACACGTGCAACCACGTGTAAATCCAAGTAACGGACGCCCGACGCACTATATTGCACAGTGCACCGTGCCAACCTCAGTCCAAACGACTGCGGAATTGGATCCACGTATCCACCGAATAACTCGCACACAGTAGGTATTAAGATTGCAACACGAAGCACAAACTTGAGACGCCGCGGTAACGCCAAAACGCACGCGAAGTTCAACAATTAGTTACGCGGCAGTGCGGCTACGAACATGCCAGACGGACGGCAAGAGAGACAACAACGAACAGGCGCCGACGCCGGACACACGGCGGGCGGCTCGAACGGACTTTGGACGCAATACGGACGCCATCGGCGTCCGTCGGTTCGCACCGCAGGTGACATAATGCGTACCTATCTGTCAACCGCGGATTGGGTACATCATTAGTGTTCTCACGAAGACGGCCAGATAATATATGAGTCGCGAACATGCTCCCCCTTGGGATACGGAGACGTATGACAACTTTCG